CGCTCCCGCGCTGCGCTAAAGAGGGCAGTCAGGGCGTCCATGTCTTGTTCTCACTAAAAACAGCTCAGCTCAGCTCCCAGCGCCTTGGCTGCCTGACGCCCAGATCCGAGGGTTTCCACACTCGGGGGCCCCGCTGCTACCCACAGCCTCGCTGCCCATCGTGCCCTGGGCGGAGCTCTCGCATTCCAGAACCTGCCGGTCCCTTCCACGTCCATTTTAGTCCATTTCACTACATCCGTTCCCTCCGCTTAGGGAAGCCTGGCTGCCTCGCCCTTCACCGCCCAGGCCGCCTGTGACCTCGCTCCCGAAGGCCCCGGAGGGCAAAGCCAGGCCCTGCCGGTGTGAGAAAGGTCCCCACGGTTCCCCAAATCCGGGCTGCTCCCTCCCCGCTCCGTCTCTGGCTCACACACTTGCTGGAAGGGGAGCGCAGCTCTCTGGAGGAGGCCGAGGCCTGGCATGTGCCTCCAGCACCGGGCAGGAGGAGAGCCCGCCTCCCGGGTGCCACGGCAGGACCACGAGGGCTCCATCTCCCCGCCCCGCGGCCGGGACACTCACGGAACATGGTCATGAACTGCTTGGGGTTGAGGTTCCAGTAGCCCCAGTTGGTCCGGTAGCCGTGCCGCGTGGCGTACTCCTCGTGGTTGTACGCGGGCTCTGTCCCAAAGGTGTCAATGACCCGGATCCGGCACCTGCCCGGGGGTGGGGAACCAGAATCAGCAACCGCAGGCTCTCCCTGTGCCGGGGGTGCCCCAGCCGTGGGTGGTACCGTGTGAGGTGAGAGCCTGGGCTCAGACACAGCTGTGTGACCACGGGCAGGCACCCCAACCTCTCTGGCCGCTTCCCCATCTGTCAAGTGGGGAAAACAGCCCAGTGCTCTCTGGGCCGTTGGACCGCTAACCCAGATTGTCACCTGTTACGGCTGCCCCTATGGGCCTACGAGGGGAGGCATTGCCGGCGGTGGAGTCCCCCCACGGTCCCAGGGCTCCCCTGTACAATTTGCACTTTCCAGGGAGTTCGAGTCCACAGCCCTCTTCCCAGGAGCCTGCACCCCAGGCTGTGCCTGGCCTATCCCAGCTGAGGTGCAGAGGGCGGGCCGGGACCAGCCGCTGCAGGCACACCGTGGGGCAGGTCCCCCCTCCAGTTCGGCCGCATCAGGGGGTCCTCCCAGCTGAGCAGAGGCACTGTCCCCACCTGAGGCTGCTCCCGGTGGCTGCAGCCCTCCTCCCTCCAGCCCCCCCGCCCCCCCGGGAGTGGGCACCTGAGACTCGCACACCTCCTTCCCGGGACCCAGGGTGGGCCACGGACTGCTGAGGCCGGCACTCCTCCCGGAGAAGGGTGCGTGGAGAGCACATTAATAATAGAAGCAATAACGCTGCCTGTCGCTTTTTTCCCTAATGAAACCGTGAGGGACCGTCCATGAGCCGGGAGCAGGCGTCACGCCTAGCCGGCTCCTGCGCTAAGTTAAACCCCAGCCCACTGTCTGCGAGACCGAGCATGGACTGGCCTTCCTGCCGGGCGGGGGGCGGGGCTGAGAGCCCCCCCACAGAGGGCCCAGCGCAGAGCACTGTCCCCTCCCCTCCTCTCCCTGCGCTTCCTCTCTGCCCCTCCCTCGGCCTGCCACGCAGCAGAGGGCCACCGGCCACGCGTGGTTCCTTGTCACTTGGGCAGCCGGGGGGCGGGGGGGACAGGGCTCCTTGGAGAAGGGACGGGGGAGGGGAGGACAGAGACAGGGAGACCTGGCCCAGGCGCTCCCCAGGGCGTAGAGGGGGTGCCGTGCGGGTCCCCACCCAGCCCCTCACCGGTACTTCCTGAAGGACAGCCCCATGTGCTGCCTCATCTGCTGCAGGCCGTGGTAGTCGGTGTAGATGAGGTCGAAGGGCAGGGGCACGGTGAGCGGGCAGTTCCCGCGGCCCGGCGGCACCCCTAAGTTACTGAGAGAAGAGCCGGTCAGCGTCTGAACCCCAGGGGACCCCCAGGCCGCAGAAACCCACCTTCCCAAACTGCAGTACCTGATTCCTACACCCCCCACCCCCAGTTCTCACAGCCCAGGACAGGCGCGGGCAGGGAGGGGGCAGGGCGGCCGGCACGGGGTGCAGGTTCTTCACCCCGCAGGGGACTGCAACGAGGGGCGCCTTTGCTAATTCCCACACGCGTGCTCCCTGCGGGCCTGTCCACCAGAGTGGGCCTTCTCCTTCCCTAGGAGCCACCGCACAGCCACAGGGTTTGGAGCGGAAGCGTCCGAACCCCCCACCCACCTGCCTCAAGTGTAATTCTGCGCTGTTGGCTGGCACCTGGCCCCGGAGATGCCTGGCTCTGCCCACAGGGCGCCCGGCTGCCAGCTCATTCACATGAGCATTTCCATCTGGGACGGAGCTGCCTCCGGGGCCGGAGCCTTGGGGTCTCACTGGAGCCCGAAGGACATGGGCACAGCTGCCAGTGAAACTCCTGCCAGGACCGCCCTGCCCACCATGCAGGGCCCCTGCCCAGCCTGCTGACGCCCCCACCCTGCAGGGTGACAGGCTGAGACCTTCACTCAGAGTCTGTGCTGAGCCCTGAGCCAGGGGAGCGGTGTCTGCCCCCTGTGAAGCCCCCTGTTCCTGCCC